TCCAGTGAACTACTGGATATTACTCCTGGCAAGTATACAGAAGTGGCTTGTCAACTTGAAGACAAGTTGAGAGTTTCGCATGCAGAACACAAATCCACGCCCGAAGTTAAAAAGAGGCGTAAAGTGATGAGAGGACTGAAAAAAAAACAAAAGTGTGACAAAAACAAACAGGGGGAGGGAGTAAAGTATGGTGCTGGAGAGTTCTATTGACTTTTAGGGACATGAAGTGTTTTTGGTAGCCAATTACATAGTATGAAAAGTTTAAACTGTATTTTCTCCAATAAACGATTTTCGCAAGGTTTGTAATCTGCCAACAATGATATCTCAAAAACAATTTAACAGATGTGGCTAAAATTTTCAGAGGATGTTTACTTCATCAAAAGCCATGCAATGAACTAGAATGAAGTCATTAGGTCAAATACTCTTTGTGCTATAAGCAAAAATTCATGCTGATCATGATTAAATTTCAGGCACACATATTGTTTCATTCAGAACTTAAAGGTGATCTACAGTCCGATCTGCGCATGTGCACAAATGAGCCCACTTTTTATGATACAAACAGTTTAACTATGTTTTGAGTTCTTGAAAAGCCCAATTGTTGTTTCTTGATCATTTATTATACTCTAGAAGCTTGAAAATATAAATAGTTGTCGAATAAAACTCAATATTTTGGACACAAAATGTAAACAAAGGCTTTGTTTACATACGGACTGTAGAGCACCTTTAAAAACTATTTATCTGATTTAAAATCTTTTAGTTCATTGCATGGGTCTAGTAGTGCTTATTATTTTCCCAAAGTTTCGTAGACAAATCTTAAATTGCTTTCGAGTTATCATCGTTGGCGCAATGGTCCGCTGCAAGGCGTGTCGAGCTGTTATTTTGGTAACCATGGCAACAGCATATGTCGAACTCACATAAATGTAAATACTTTTCTATGGGCTTTCATAATATACCATTTAAACTTTATTTCTAGTTTTAAATATAAAAAAAAATTTTGAAGGTCACTCCACCTTAATGTTACAATATTTTGATTGGTTCGTTTTCACATGCCTTAGATTCTAGATGTTTAATTAACTGTGAAAGCAATTAACGTGTTTAGGCTGTGTTTTTCTACCAAATCTCCTGACGAATAAACGATCTTTAGTGGTATTAGGCTGACGAATCGAACACGACCACGTCAGCTCTGCTTTAAAACTTATCGTGATTAAATAAATATATTAAAATGCTTATTATTATCAATATTATTATTGAAGGTTGCCTACATTTATTACGTATGAACTTGCATGTGGTAAAAGGCGACAGGTATATAATATAATTATATGAAGTTTAACTCTGATGTTTTAAAAATGAATATAAGCGGTATTGTCACTCCACTTTTCTAAACAAACCGTAAAGTTCCCAAACATTGTTCCAATATAAAGTATTTCGAATTAGAAAAGGGTTGACGAAACGAATTGGCGATATCAGTGTGATGTCCCGAAGTGGCAGAACCCATGCAATTTAAACCGAAAACGAAATCATTACTTTTGACTACCAATTGCTGAAAAACATGTAGTTATATTATTAGACATTCTATGAACTTCGATTTAATTTAATGTCAGTAATTCAAATATCTCGTAATATAGGCTTACTTCGAAATTATTAAGAAACTCAAATGTTTCTTCTAAATCGCCACCAAATTGTGAAATTTAATCACCTGCACACATTATCATCATCATTAAAAACAAAAGCCATGTGTTCAGGCATATGATTACGTGTATCAGTATTAGTATTGAAATCTCCTTGACGTTCGTCCAAACTTTTTGTGCTACCATCACTCGACAAAGAATAATCGGACCACCTTTTCTCTCTTGAACAATACCCGTTTGATTTATCGAAGGTATCCTCCGTCTGTTTACAATCGTCTACGGAAATGTCACGATTGTTTTCCGTGTTATCCCGACCGTCCGCGGTTGTTCCACGATAATATGGCTGTCGGTCACTACAGTCTGATGTTATCACATTAAAGTCTACTAAACTGCGTTCGGATGAGCCCAGAAAAGGTGACGAGGTAAAAGTACCGGTGGTCATCATTTCGTGATCATATCCTTTTGTCCTGTAAGGTATTGATAGAAACTGGTATACACCTTTATGTCCTTTGACCTGGAAAATACAAAATTGATTACTATTAAGAGGACATTTTTCTGTATGTTGCGCAACACGCGATCAGAACCAACGAGTATAATAGAGCGTTTGCACATGACGTCACAGCCGCCATGTTGATGCTCCAATTCAAAATAATTTTAATTAGACTCTTTTGTCTGGAACACCAACATGGCCGCCATGCCTTTTGTTGAGTTGGTCCTTAGGGAATGAGTGCAAACACTCTATATATAACTTGCTGTTATGGCTACATTCAAAAATTTTATTTCCGAAGTGGTTTATCTGTAAAATAATGTTAAAGTGATCAGAGTTTAGATGGCACGCCAAGGAGAAAATGATGTCTAAATAATGTCTAATGATGTTTTTGCTTATATTGCTGTGAATGTGGCATCACTTTGAATCCAGATGATCTTGATACGCGGAAAAGTACTGGCACTAGTTGTCAAATAGAAATCCATTTTATGATTAAAACAACTGAATATCTCCTGTAATATACTTTATTTCGATTCCATATTTTTGTCAGAGCTATAGTTCTCATAACCAAACATAATTACAAAATTTCAACTAGTTTCATAAAGAATAACGAAAGATTTAATGGACTGAATTTATCAAAATGGATTTCTATTCGGACAACCCTTTCTGAGCGCTGATTGGCTAAAATACGAACACGAGATCACCTGGATTAAAGCATCATTGATAGAGCTGTATTTCGAACACTCATTAATAATTCATAAGCTTATTGCCAAATCATGTCAACCTTAATAAGTCACGTGCAGTGGTTTTAAACCTGATAAAACACTCCTAATTTGTATTCTTTATATAAAGAATACAATAAGACAGTATCCATTGTAGTCATGTCCTCATTAGTATTCTTTATATGAAGAATACTAATAAGGCAGTATATCTATTGAATTTGTAGTCGTGTTTGAAGTCGTTTAATAAACTCGCAGGTCGTGTTTTATTAGGTCTAAAACCTACTCCTGCTCGTTTATTAAACATGACTTTAATTGACAATATTATTTTTGTTTCTCAACTGGCAAATGCATGCATTAAGAAAGGTATCTAATTTTGTCTTGTGCGCCAAACAGATTTTTGGTTTTGAACATTTTTAAGCGTTTTTGTTCAGTCAAGCCCAGCCATCATATCAACTAGTCAGGAGATAATTCGAAGTTTCCACTGTGAATGTTAGTTACCCCAGTGAAGGTCTCTTCTGTCTACAATATAAGCAAAAAGGGAAGAATAACTTAGTTAATTAAGAAGTCCCATGACCAAATCTTTGTCTAGTGGATAAAACATATAAAATATTCTGTCTGAAAATGCAAAAAATAAAGCCCCCCGACATTTAAAAATACAAAATTTTTCGGGGCCAGACAAGTTTCCCTTTTGAGGAGGCCCTGATATATGCTTAAGAGGCCCTGATATATGCTTAATTTAAAATATGCATTAATAATTCATGAACCTTGTGGCAAATATACCTGATGAAACACACGCATGCATGTGGCCTTATATAATTGTTCACCCTATATTAGTATTTTTATATAATTGTTCATCCTATACAGGGTGTATCATAAAAAACGGAGTCCATCTTTTGTACTTAATAACTATCGGCCAGCTATATTTAATAAAACGGTTTTAAGCTTATTTTAAGGCCTGCTCATTTATCTTTCCAACAAATGGTCATCCGTGTCTTTAGTGCAAGTAATAACTGCACAGGAGAAAATCTAGTAAAACCTATAATTTTTAGATGCCGCTTAATTATACAAATTTACTATGATATTCCATAGTCGGTTACAATGTTTGAATTTTCTTGTTCAAACTTTAATGTTCTTGTTGCCACATCAGAAAAACTAGTAAAAACTTGTTAAAAACATTCTAAAAGAGATTAGGTTGTTTTATTTATTTCAAAATCCTAAATTATTTCCAGAAATCATCAAAACAATCTCATCAGGTCCATGCATCGTCCGAACTAACGCCATCGAATCGGGCGCAATGTAAATTAGCAAGTCGACGGCAAGCTAAAACACGCTTCAGCTGGGAATATAAACGCATTTGAAGTCAGCAAGTGAATTTAACATAGTGTATCGGAAGCCTTTATTACTTAGTTTTTACAAGCTATTGCCAAAATGCCTCAATTTGCACGTTTTGTTGACAAAATAAGTTATTTTCATCAAGTACCGATTTGTTATTGCATCTCAAATTTTTGACTCTCCAATCGCAATCACTTAAAATACTATTATTCACGAACTACTGGATTAAATTTACAAAACAACCCATCGTTAGAGAGCCGTGAATGTCTACGCTTTAAAACAAATGTAAACCTGAACGTTTTACTCTAATATTCGTTTCGAAATTTATATTTGAAGCGAGGACTAAGTTTTTTATGATACACCCTTTATTAGTATTTTTATGTAATTGTTCATCCTATATTAGTATTTTTATATAATTGTTCATCCTATATTAGTATTTTTATATAATTGTTCATCCTATGTTAGTATTTTTATATAATTATTCATCCTAATTAGTATTCTTTAGTAGTCGTATTTTAAGCTATTCAAAACACTCGTTGTCGTGTTTTATCAGATATTTCAAACACTCATTAATAATTCATAAGCTTATTGGCAAATCATGTCAACCATAATATGTCACGTGTAGTGGCTTTAAACATGATTAAAACACTCGTAATTAGTATTCTTTATATAAAGAATGCTAATAAGGCAGTATCTATTGTAGTCATGTCCTCATTAATAAGTATCCATTGTAGTCATGTCCTCATTAGTATTCTTTATATGAAGAATACGAATAAGGCAGTATATCTATTGAATTTGTAGTCGTGTTTGAAGTCGTTTAATAAACTCGCAGGTCGTGTTTTATTAGGTCTAAAGCCACTCGCGCTCTGCGCTCGTGACTTTAAACCTAATAAAACACTCCTGCTCGTTTATTAAACAGTACAAAACGCTCGGCTGCCCCTCGCGTTTTAGATCTGATAAAACACCCCTACTCGTGTTTTAAATAGTACATATCAGAGTATTTGGCTGTTCAATCATTTGTGTTTCACTTATGCCACAATTATAGGTCTATCATTAAATCATTTGTGCTAGCATATTTTGTTATTTCTGTTTAATTAATTAAAACAAAAATAAAGAAAAGCACACTAATTAAGGGAATATATTTTCCAATTTAAAGGGAGTAGACTACATGAAGTCTATACAGGATTGTCAGAATTTGAATGCCGTAGCCATAGCCGTAGCGCTAAGCTGAACGCAAATATGCATAAAACATTGACATGCAGGGTGCATATATTATAAATATTGACTTATTAAGAAATATCTTTGTAAAGCGCGCGATTTTCTGCTCTTGGGAATTTACTTTAGTATTTATTACATAAATCCTTTTACAAACATTCTTTTAAATGTTTCTTTATGCATGCATAACATTTACTTATGTCAAGCTCTTATTCACTTGCGGGTTCAGCAGAGTGCTCGACTGAGGCATTCAAATTCTAACAATACATTATTTCAATAGTTTTGGGTTTTTTGGGACACCCTGTACAGACTAATTGACGACGCAACTCGTTATGCTTTAGAATTAAGGGCACTCGTAATGTTTTACAATTGAGGCGTATATTTACAGCAATATAAATTCAGATACGCATGCATCTCTTTGGTGTACCGACTAAAACATCTTTTAGTATTATTTTATAGATAAACATTAACATTAAAGTGGCTCTCCTAGAATCTTTAAAAATTGAGAAAAAAATCATAAAACAGATCAAACTTTTTGAAGGAATGTTACTTGTCAGAAATAAAAAAATGTACACCATATAGAGAAATACTCATAAGGTTGTAAATTGGTCACAACGTACAATGACGTTATTACTGTTGCTATGCCAACAATGACGATTCAATATGGCTGATATTTTTGCTTTTAACGTACTTTACTTGAAAAAACGGAGAACGTTTTCTTTCAGTACATTTAACACAAAAACGGAGCACGTTTTCTTTTTGTACCAAGCTTAAAAGAATTCTTTAGAGCTCAAAAATATTTATGTCGAAAACCATGTTTATTAACTTTAAAAAACTCAGATTAGTCAGATAGTGCAGTAATATGCTACAAAAAAGTTTAAGAAATAAAAAATGAGGTAACCAGGCGTTTTTTCAAGTAAAGTGCGTTAAAAACGCAATTAAATATCGGCCATATGAATCGTCGTTGTTGCCATAGAAACAGTGATAACGTCATTTTCCAACTCTGTGATAATCGCTCTTTATATGGTGTTCAAGTTTTTCTTTCTAATTATAACAAGCAATATTTTTTACAAAGAATGGTCTAAATTCAAGGGCGGCGCTTAGGGGTGTGTGGGGGGCACCTCAGAACATCCCTGCAGTCGTCTGGTAGTCGTCAAATTATTGAATCCCAGTCGCCAAATTGTTTTCGTAGTTGGAAAAACATGAAAAGTAAAATATTCGAGTGATACTGATTAAAAACTCATAATTATAGCTAAAATTTAGAGAATTTATGAAAACATGAAGGAAAAATTAAACTAATTGAACAGTAAGTTCGCCCGAAACAAAATAAAAATATAATGTTCGGAGCCGCCAACCCGCCCCCCCCCCCCTCCCTCCAGCTCTGCAAAATTTACCTTAATGACAGGCCAAAAATTCACTTACACCTCCCCGTCGCCACAGGGTCTAATTTATAAATTTTCCATATTTTAATATTGGTAGATTGTAGTTGTGAATTAGATTGTAGACGGTTGATTTCTAAATGAATATAGTACATCTTCAGATTCAACGTTTTGTTAATAACGTTCAGAAAGTTCTTGTGTTACATCCTACAACCCGCCCCATTACCTGCCGGTGATATAGCGCATTATATATACATGATTTATAATACATTTCACCCTATAAATTATGGCACTGGGAGTGTAGGCTATATTTCACTATCGCTTGTGGCAATCTTACTATTGGAATATAATTTTAAATTCTTGATTTTTTTTCTGTGTTTGGTGTAATGTACTCAGGTGAATATGATGCTTGTGATGTTAATCTCCTTGTATATCTAATGTATATCTTGCTGGTAATCTACTTGACTGCAAAATGTATCGTATTATACCCTGGGAATTGCCAAAATAAAAAGTATCTATTGTCATAGAGTATCTAAGCAGGTAAAAATATTAAAATTTGGTATACTATCTTCCTTTTTATGTGTGTTGGTGTTATGTACTCAGATGAATATGATGTTTGTGGTTGTTATTCTGAGTGTGCATTCAGGGCAAGTTTGCCTGACCGAGGTGGGAATCGAACCCGCGACTTTGGTGCTTGGAATATAGAATTGACTATGACAAGCTGAATTGTAGCTGTAGATTGATCTGGAAAATGACTGTTTGCTTTCGCCTACGCTTCTTTGAAGTGGATCCTTGAACACTGTTTCAATCATCATAAGCGCCGGAAATACTTCAGATGTTAAGTTTATACGAATGCAAATAAATAAGTACAGCCTGTTTCGATTTGTCAAGGCTAAGAGATTCTGCCATGGCCCATGTTGCACGGCCAAATACGCAATGGAAATCTTCTGTCGATTGTGCAGTAAGATAAAAAGCACAAAGTCCGTCTGAAACTTGATCATAGCAAGTAAAAAACTATTTTATGTAAAAATGTTGATAATTCTATATGCAATGAGTAAAGTCTGATTTGCATAGAAACGCTGTTAGGGTGGATGCCACTCGTCTTATTCTCAAAACAGGTAATTTCGCCGCTTTAAAACATTTCCATGTCGTTGTCATAATTTAGACAGAAATTGTGTCCAAAATCGCTATTTTGTTTTTGATACTTGACCATTTTCGAGCCAATATGTCGGTCACCTGTCGGAATTTACCCTATATAACTGGGCCTCTGCAAGCGACTAACAAAATACCAGCTCGACCAAGACTATTTTATCTCGGTGACAGTGAATTGTAATTCACTGCAATCACGATTGAAAACAAGATTTAAAAATACGAAACGGTTAATTAAAGAACTAGCCTATAAGATGTCTGAAGTATTTTTGGATATTTATGATAGCTAGATATTTAATTGTGTGCTTGCATGGCGATGATAATTGTTCGTGAATAGTAATTTCTGAATGTTACTATCGAGAAATATATTTCGGGTATAGGAAATTTCGGGTAGGGAAGTTGTAGGAATGAAGCCTGCTAATTAATAAAAGAAAAAATATGTTACCTTTCTTAACATGCCCCTCTCGTAATACGTCCTAATCGCTCTAATCAGTTTGCTTTTGTCCATTCTCGGTCTGTTTTTAACAGTACCCCATAGTTTCGCTAGTTCCTCCGTGTTTTTAAGTTCAAATATTCCTTCACGTTTGTTGGTCCAAGTTATTACTGAAGTACATTCTTCGTCTTCCAGGAGACCAAAGAGAAATTCCCACAGATAAAGTGACTTTCTGGTGCTCGACCGCGAGTGACTCTTTTTTCTAGATGCTAGAAAATTTCAAATATTATTAATTCTATTACACTTGTTCCGGATCGCTTTCCATATTGCGACGTGAAGATATTCCTATCTGTGCCTTTTAGGAACGCTATTTTCAGAGGAATTATTGCAACGGAGAGATGCTGTTTCGCTCAGCTTCTGAAAGTTGTACATCTTCAGTTCCATATTGGATATATATGCGCTCTTTCGCGTCGCTACGGAAAGCTATCCGGTATAGTATAAACGTAGCGTAAGTGAAATGAAATCGTATTCCATGCACGATGGACGATTTTCCCGCATCTAAAATTGCTGTATCGGCGTTTTGATTGGCTAGTGTCTTCGCTCGCATAATTGGCAATTCCAGCTTTTAGTTTATGTGTGCAGGGGACGATGGGAAGTAAGGTATCACATTGGTGATTATGCTGAAAAAATAAAAATGATGACCGTGTAAACACGGAGTGATAGCTTATACTTGTAAATATTGAAATTTTTCGGTTGTTTCGGTAGTTTTTATTGAAATCTTTCAGCATAATCAGCAATATGATACCTTACTTCCCATCATCCCCTGCAGGCTTAAACTGAAAGCTGGAATTGCCTATTGTAAACAATTCAACATGGCGCGCCCACTCTAGCGAATTCACCGAAGACTACTAAAGTGAAGTAATCATTGTAATAATTCAATCACCATTAATATGCATACAGTATGATACGATATGGAATTTATTAGTTAGTACATTACTTGTCTAATTACTACAGCAAAATCATTGGTATTAATTAATAATACACACATGCCACATATAATAAATTATTAAATGACACTGTATAAGTGTAGGTATAACTACGATTTTGAAGGAATAGTTGGTTCAACAATACGTTCAGTAATCAAAGATTACTAAAATTAATCAAAGAGCTAACCTTGACTAGTATATACTATAGATATAAAAAATATTCGAAAATATAGACAAATTAGGAAGCCCTTTGGTTTCCCAGATACAATCTTAAGCTGCATGTTTGGAACTTACTAAACATATCTTCATGATTGAAAGCGAATCTTGAACAAGTTTCAACGTTTAAATCCACATTTTAGTCTTTCGAAGTATATAAAAATACCACTCCCGTCATTCACTCTTGCAGTCTGAAAAGTGAGGATATCTAGCTGAGTAGCTATTTTGAGTTCTTGACCAGACATATTTTATCTTGTTTGTCTTGGAATTGAACTTCAGTTTCTAAGAGTTGTCTTTCATCTGTATGTCCGTCCACGTCTTATTATAATCATCGTTACCATGTTATTAAGTATTTGGTGGTTGGTATTTAAGTGCATGGTAGAGCGTTCTGGGATATACAAGGTGACAAGCCGTAGGCGAGAGGTTAATATCATATCTACGACCACATGAACGTGAAAAATTTGATATTGATACTTCACGGGGGGTATAGAAATTTGGAGTTCTCAATCAATGCAAATTATGAAGGGAATGACGTAGTGAAATGTTTATATGTTTAGATAATGCTTTTGAAATACGATAGTCTAACAAGATATGATGTTCTGGGAACTAAACAGAAGTCATTGTGTTATGTTTTTGTCTGAGTTTATGTTAATCCGTGCACGGTCACGGTGATTGAGCTCATTGTATTTTCGTAAATGAAGTAATCATCCAACATAGGGATGGCTGACATGACACGTGCAACGACGATGAATAATACTGAATGAAGTTGAGATAAAGAATTTGTGCACGGTGAGGTATAGTTCAACATCAAACAAAGGTCTTCTTAGCTTTCAGACCATTCTATCTTGACAGACGATAGAAATCATACATATTCGGCTCCACAACGGTGGGTTACTTTTGAAATTTGAAGGATTGTTTCATCATTGGTTAATATTATTGTAAAAGAGTAGTAGTGCGATCGGAGAATCAAAAATTGTACAGATGCAATGGCAAACCGATATAATAATATTCCTATTGTGTATAAAAAATGAAGCATCTTGAAAATGACTCATCAAAACAAAAATAACTCCGCCTTTCATGCGCTATTTTCAATTCATGTACTAACTTAACATGTACTACGGATCCAGTTAAAATATATTATTATTATTAAATAATTTGAATGTAATAATGCATCGAGATGTATGGCCATTTTTGCCATTGAACTAATTTAATTTCTTAATTTAATTAATGATTTACTAGATAATGATAATTATGCATGCTTTTGAAAAAGTTTTTTTTAAAAAAAGTCGATGCATATTAGCTAAGAGTTTCTTTGTGATATATAGTTGATTAACATTGTTCTTCTTGAATATTGAGTAAAGACGTTCTTATTTCGCAAAGTCCTCTCTATGCATGGATTTTGGGCTATATGGTTGAACTATAACCAAGAATTCCTGGTTAATTTAGAAATCCACCAGTAACATAATCTGGTTAATTCCACCATATACTGTGGCCTGGTTAATTTAAATAAACTAGGAATCCTGGTTAAATTAGCCAGGACTGTGATCAAGTTAACCAGGATGATTGCGGTGAAATTACCACAGGAAATTTACCAAGAACATTAACTAAGTTACCTCAAATAGGGTTAATTTTAGATTATAACCAGGAAATTTATAACCAAGGTGTCTAAAGTGTCCCAGTTGCATAATCTTTGCTAACCTGAATGTCGGCTATTACTATAACAAGGAATGGGGAATCGGGGAAAGGAATCGGGGAATGGGGAATGCTAAAACCCGGAATACTAAAATGGGGAATCTCTAAAACCCGCGGAATACTAAAATGGGGAATCTAAAACCCGGAATACTAAAAGCCGGAATTAATCTCTAAAACCCGGAATACTAAAAGCCGGAATCTCTAAAACACGGAATACTAAAATGGGGAATCTCTAAACCCGGAATACTAAAAGCCGGAATCTCTAAAACCCGGAATACTTGAAAATGGGGAATTTCTAAAACCCGGAATACTAAAAGCCGGAATCTCGAAAACACGGAATACTAAAATGGGGAATCTCTAAAACCCAAACATAGATAAGGACATCAAACCAAGAAATGTATTAGTCTCCAACACCCACTACTGTCACTTGGCAAATCCCCATGAAATCGAACAAGCTTGGTTACAGGAAGGCATTGCATGCAAATTTGCAGATTTTGGTGAAAGCCCATCCGTATTACATCAAACTGCGACTATTCACTACACGCGAACAACAAACAGATCGAGTGACTGGACAACCTAAAAGAAGTGCGTCCCCTCAGAACGTACATTTTCATCTTCGAGCAAGTTGTATTTTTAAAAAATATCCGCAGTTCAATCCAGGCTTCTTAACGTCAGTGCGGAATTTTACCGCTCGTTACGTCCCGAGCATTCTCAGCGTTTATTTTCTGAATTTGGATGGAGTTATAATAATCAAATAGACGACTAAAGACGGAATTAGAACACTAAAATGCTCGGAGAAGTGACAATAATTTAATTATGAGAACAATGGGAAAAGTTTTGTTATGGGAAAAGTTTTGCAGTAGGCTTGGTTTTCTTAGTTTTGATATTACTAAATGAGTATATATATTAAATATAAATATTCTGTTGATAAACTATTGCCGGCTTGACCGTATAAAAAGTACAAAAGTTCAGTCTTGTTTGTCAAAATTTTCATGAACGTAGCTAAAAGTAGCCAACTGTAAACTGTAACTTACATATTATGAAGGCCAGAGCCGCCGAGGGGGGCACTTTGTCCTGGGGCCGCAGCTCCGAAGGGGTCCTAAAAGTTTTTGACTTGTGGCCTCCAAAAAGTAGAAAAACCCCGAACATAGGCAAAAATGAACGGTAATATCTGCGTTAAAAATTTATGCCCGAAAATCCCCCCCCCCCCCCCTTCGACAAGAATTTCGAGGAAAATGTTTGAGAAACAGGTCCCCCCTTGGAACCAATGGAACGTTTTGCCCCTGGCCCTGCCCAACCTCCCGGCAGCATCGATGAAAGCTAATAAATGTGCTATTCTTGCATGGCCACTATGAACTCAGTCTATTATGTTATATGCCACGACATAAAAACTTTATCCTTATACTGAAATTAGCAGTTCATGATTAAAAATATCGCGATAACTTATCATTGTAATGCTATGCTGTTCCATTTTCCTTTTTACACAAACCCTGACGGTTTGTAATTGGTTAGTTACTTTTCAAACAATAAATCGCGCATAAGACTTTTTGATAGACTACATCAGTTCCATGCATGTCTTTGGCCTTTTTCCCGAAAAACATATTTACCTTAGTGTTGAAAGTGGTCGTTTTATTACTGTAAAAAAATGAATTGATGTTTTTGCTAGAATTTATCCATTTCACACTGCCCCAAAACGACACGATTGAGTTCACAAACTGGCTGAACGGAAAATGTCGATCTAGATTTAAAATATTAAAAAAACTGAAAGTGACGTTCTTGTATGACAGTTTTCTTGCAGAATATAGTTTCGGAGTTCGTAATCTTTTGTAATCCTTGATCGAAGTAAGAAGTTGCGAGAATTATTTCGTAACAAACTACATTGGATTTGTATAAATGCATGGTTAACCACATTGAATTCGCGTAAAAGCTAGCTGGTTGTGTTGTGACCACATATGGTATTCCGGCTTTTAGTATTCCAGGTTTTAGAGATTGGTCCCATTTAAATTTTAGTATTCCGGGGTTTGGAGATTCCGGCTTTTAGTATTCCGGGTTTTAGAGATTCCGACTTTTAGTATTCCGGGTTTTAGAGATTACCCATTTTAGTATATTCCGGGTTTTAGAGATTCCCCATTTTAGTATTCCGGATTTTAGAGATTCCGGCTTTTAGTATTCCGGGTTTTAGAGATTCCCCATTTTAGTATTCCGGGATTTAGAGATTCCCCATTTTAGTATTCCAGATTTTAGAATTCCTTATTTTAGTATTTCGGGTTTCAGAGATTCCCCATTTTAGTATTCCGGATTTTAGAGATTCTCCATTTTAGTATTCCGGGTTTAGAGATTCCGGCTTTTAGTATTCCGGGTTTTAGAGATTCCGGCTTTTAGTATTCCGGGTTTTAGAGATTCCCCATTT